AATTTGGTGTTTATAGTAAATAATGATCTAAGCTAGAAAACTAAGCATGTGTAGCAAATTGTTGGACATATACAATGTTATATAAAACAAATATATATACCGTTTATTAAGAGAATTTCTTTTCGGCACAAATCCTTTACTTGTATGTCTAAATCAATATTCACTACGGTTTCTTAAAAAATTGATTGGTCGTCTTTCTTTGCACTAAATACGTTGTATGAACGTTCTTTTGTCCAACACAAACTGTTTCAATTGCATTAGAGGGTGATTAGTAAATTGGTAAATTTACATAAGAATTACGTAAATGTACCCAAAATTTTTTTTTGTAAATTTCTAACATTAATTTACATAAGAATTAGCTATTAAAATTGTTATAATTAATTACTAAAATTATTAAAAGACGCATACTTTTTTTTCAATAAATAAGTTAAAAAGAAAATGTCAAAAATATGACATATGGCAAAATCTTAAATTTGTTTATAAGATGTAAATGGTCATTAAATATTTAATTACTATAACATTAAATATATACAAACTTAAATTAATTTTGATTTTTGAAAAAATGTGACACAAGTCAAAAAAATAATTGCCACATGGCACATTCTCATAGATTTGGTTTTGAAGAACCTTAAAATATTATATAAGATTCATATTCTCACATGTAGTACGGGTTCATGGGTTCCACGAGATAATAACCAATTAGCTGATAGATATTAATGGAATGAAAGTTTTTGTGTTAAACAAATAAAAATAAAATAAAAGAGATTTGGGCTATAGAGCCCAATTCAGGGTACCGGAATCCTGGAGGAAACCTAATGAATAAGAAGCAGAAGACATTTTGGTGACAGTAATAATGGATGCTTCTTCTGATCGAAGATTGGATGAGTTGATCAAGTTTCGGTTACTATTGGGAAAATCTGGTGTAAGTAATGATTACGACAAAACCTAAACCTAGTCTAGGTGTGTGTTGTGTCTTGATGATAACTTTTATAATGATTTGTCTGGCTCTGGTCTCTCAGGGTTTCGATGTTGAGCACTTGATGAAAGATAAACCAAGCTCTTATTTGATGTATCTTCATGATAATGGTGATTACTCCACCGAAATCCTTGTCTATGCTAAGATTGGGATCCATAGGTACAATATGACACATGGGAAAAACTTGCAGCTCGTTTCCGTGGAGAAATACAATTTTCAACCTACACCAGTCTATTCATGTTACTATATAACCTTGGTTGCAAAAGATCCAGATTCTGGTGGTTCCCTTGTACCTTTTCAAGCCCAAGTTGTTGAAGAGCTCTATGAAATCAACAAGACACTCTCTTGTTATATTGCTAGACCCAAGTTTCAACCAAAAGAAGGTAATATATAATGTCATTTTTACTTTAGCTTCTTCTTGTTTTGCTTAGGTTCTTCTTGTTTATGCTTTTTGAAATCTTGCATAATGCATTGTGTGTGACTTAACTATGTAGTGGAAAAACCACCCGTGAATCAAGAACCGGTAGATAAATCCATATTGCCTGAGTGGCCGTCAGAGAATGCTTTCCACGATAAAAGTCGATATTACTTGGTGAAGAAATCAGAGCTGCAAAAATATGACTGGATTCGTCTATACATGAAACTTGCATTCCTCAAAGCAAATACCAAGATTAAGAAGGTAAGGATTTTTTTTCATTTTTCTCCTTTCCATTAGTGGAATGAATGAATGACCCAAGAAGAATATGAATTGAGTCTTTATTGATTCTTGCTGCAGCCTAAGCTGTCAAGATTGGTCATTGTGAAGGTAGCCGTAGAAACTGACGAAAATGTGGAGCGGCCAAATGAGAGACTTAATGCCAGAAATGCAACCTTGTACATTAAGTACAAGTATAGAGGTCCGAATAAAGGTCGAGCTGGTGTTTGCAAGGCTCCCCGTTATCGCTTTGCTATAGTAAGAAGATCCATAAACAAGAATACGGGACTCCTTAAACTCATGTTTGACAATTGTTTAGAATAAAGCAGCAAGACCTTAAGTCGAGATCCATTTGAAAATATGGACCATTATATTTATGCTCGACATAGTTTAAAGTGCTGTTTGGATTGTTAAGTGGATTGTTTTTTTTTTTTTTTGTACAAGTTTA